GACACACTCCCAGGTCGTCCCTTCACGTTCTGGGAGTGGTTCTACGCCATCCAAAAACTGACCAAAGAGCATCTCAAAGACCTCTGGATTGACCAGTTAGTAACTTCTTTGCTTAATTTATTTAAATCTTGTTGTCGCTCTTCTTTTCTTCTTCTTCTTCTTCTTCTTCTTCTTCTTCTTCTTCTTCTTCTTCTTCTTCCTCTTCTTCTTCTTCTTCTTCTTCTTCTTCTTCTTCCTCTTCCTCTTCTTTTTCCTCCTCCTCTTCTTCTTCTTCTTCTTCTTCTTCTTCTTTTCTTCTTCTTCTTCTCAATCAGTCAATTAATCGGTGAATTTATTCATCAGCCAATAATGAATCAGTCAATCTACCAATCTATCTAATTTTCAATCAGTGAAAGGCTTTGTCAATCAATTTATAAGTCAGTGAATGAAAGATTCAATCAATCAATCTATAAGTCAATCAGTGTATGAATTCATAAAATAATATCTGTCAGTCGATTAATTCATCAGTCAATGAATCGATCAATCGATCTATCTATCAATGAGTCAATGAATAGATCCATCATTCAATGAGTCAATCAACCAATCCATCTATCAGTGAGTCAATAGATCGATCTATTCATCAGTGAGTCTGTCGATGAATCGATCGATCTATCAATTAGTTAAATCAACCGATTTATCTATCAATGAGTCTATCACTTATACACCCAGGGCAATCATCGGCTTCGTCAGCAAGGGTCACGCTCAGGAGTGGCTGAGCAACAAACCGCTGGGCACGTTTCTGCTACGCTTCAGCGACTCAGAGATTGGAGGCATTACCATCGCTTGGATAGGTCTGTCTTTTTTAGCTCGTCCTTGACCAGCTGTTCAATTTGTCGCCTTCATTTATCATTGTCGTATGTCAAATTACGAGGTTTTTAGAAGCACAAAATCTGTTTTATTTTATTTCGTTCAGAAAACTATCTTTACACAATTTCATTCTAAATCTTTTACTATTTTAAGCAGAGGAATAAAACTAGGACCAGTCCATGCGCCCCATCAAGCTCTACAACATACTTGATTATCTTCATTTTTTTTCAAAATTTTGACATACTACATTGTTGAATGATGGCTATGATGTGTACTAAGCCCAAAATTATTTTTAGAATTTTCATTGCTGTTTCTTAATCTGAGGTATCGGTTTCAAGTGCTCAAGAAATATTTGGTCAAAATTCGAATCCAAAATGTTGGAAAGAGGAAGAAAAATTGCATAATTTAGGAGAAAAAAAATTAAAGAATGAAACCCTTTTCATCTCACTTTCTGGGCGTAGTGCATTTGAACATCTTGTTGAGGTCATGTTTTTACTGTCTAGTGAATTACATGTATATCGATCTAATCGTTTTGGTGAATTATGTCTCTGTCTTTTTGTCTGGATTTGTATGTCAGTCCTTTTTTGCTCATGTTTTTACTGTCTGGTGAATTTCATGTATGTCGATCTTATTATTTTGGTGAATTATGTCTGTCATATTTTCTGTGTTATTATGTCTGTCTTTTTGCTGGTGTTTTTAACTACCTTGTTAATGACTTGGTTTTAACTTTCTGGATAGGGGTGTCTTTTTGCTCGTGTTTTTACTGTCTAGTTCATTTGTCTCTTTGTTTGATAATGTCCGTCTTTTTGCTTGTATTTTTACTGTCTGGTGAATTATGTCTTACTGTGTGGTGAATAGTGTGTCTTTTTTGTCATATTTTTACTGTCTAGTTAATTATGCCTGTCTTTTTTATGATATTTTTACCGTCTAGTTAATTATATCTGTCTTTTTAATTTTATTTTTTCTGCTTGGTTAATTAGGTCTGTCTTTTTTATCGTATTTTTACTATCTGGTTAATCATGTGAGTGGGTTGTTGGCGGGTGCTCTGGTGTGGTTTGCTTCTTTTTTCCTATCAAACATCTATCGTCCTTATCTCCCCTTCTTCTTTTTTATGTTTGTTACTGTCTTGTAGCACCTCTAATCTTCTGGCGCTCATATGACCTTATGCAGTTGCGAGCCTCGTAAAACCTCTACTAAAACTAAACTAATGGCGCTCATATGAGCTTATGCAGTTGCGAGCGCCGTAAAACCTCTACTAAGCTAAACTAATAGATAAGCGCCAAGGGGTGTATGTCAACAGAGAAGTCCTTACAGGGAATCAGACTTACTCTGCTCACCTCTGTAGCATCAACAGCACAAAGTCTGCTTCGACTATCAAGGCACCCCGGAAATAGTGGGTTTGACAAACATACAAAAGAGTTTGACAAACATACAAAAGAAGTAGAGGAAAATGACAATAGTAAGGATTAGGAAAGAAAAAGCTACAATTCCCTGTTGTAGATCAGGCACAGTTTTGAGCGTGACATTGATGAATCAGCCCATTTACAATTCTGCTGTGCTTGAACGAGAAATGTCCCCCCTTTGGGAATGGCCTAAAGACACTTCTGTCAGTGGCACCGCCCGGGGGAGGGGTCTAAACTAACTAAATCATGTCTGTCTTTTTGCTTGTGTTTTTCTTGTCTGGTGCAATATGTCTGTTATATTGTCTGGTAAAAATCACCAAGAGCTATAAACAAAAAACAAAAAACTGTCCCATTATCAAGACAACATGCTGAGTCCTTCAGCCTTTTCTGGAAAAGTCTTCCACCCCCCGCCCCCCCTCCCTCCCCTATTTGTTCCCACCTTTAAAGTATGGGTTATTTTTCTCCTAAAATTTGGGTTATTTTTTCCTCCAAATGTCTTGTTTACTTCACGGCGCACCGGCAGTGGAATTTTAGTCGTAGCGGGGGGGTTCCCCGCCGAACGCCTTATCACGTCGAGGTCACGGGAGTCAGCTCCCTGTCACTCCTTGTATTTATGGTAATTATCATTTAATGCACCCAAAGCACGCATTTCTGCTCTTGAGACCCAAAAAACAACGGACATTGTAACTTGTCTGGTTATTTCGTTAGACGCGCTGAAGTCGGCAATGCTAAATTGTAAAAAAAATTTGTACAAGTGGGGATGAAAAAAAAATTAATATAAAATAAAAAGCACAACAAAAACTGTCAAACTTTTGGAACATGAACGACCAAGCATTGGTGCAGATACTCAGAAAAGATGGTATCTGCGTATATTCTAGGAAGCCGTAATTTTGCAACTTTATCCATCCGGCACACAATTCGCTATGAAGTTATTCCTCCAAATACAACTTTATGTGTCGAACATAATCGGGAATATTCACACATTTTCTCTAAAGTTTATCAAAATTACCCTGATGTCTCTCTATGAAAAAGTGCAAACTGATTTTAGTGCCAGAATACATCTACAACAATGTAATACACGAACAGTAGGTTAAACTCCATAAATTATTCCTTATTGTTTTTTAAGCGCTAGATCTAGGTTTTGTAAGTTGATTGAATAACAGGGATGACTCCTCGTATATGTTTGATTGTATTATACGAATAATTTCTAGCTTTCCCCTGACACTGAATCAGCACCTGGCTTTTCCAGCTTTTTATTTTCGTTTCTATCTCTATTTGCAATAACTGACAATGTTCTGATTTCTTTACATTCATAAGTGTCTGCGCATATGTCCGACAAAAATCTAAGAATGAATGTTAACTGTCGTTATTTTTATTCCATACAAGAAGTTAATCTCTACCCATGTATTAACAAACTATTGTGTTTTTTAAAAAATCGCACAATATATCTTTCTTAGTTGTATGCAGGCTGCCACAGACACAGCATGATTCATGAACAAACACAGAGTAACTTTCTCTTGTTTAATGGTAGAACAAGAGCTTACTTAGTGTCTTTAGTTAAAAAATGCTGATGTGCATCTTTCTTCTCTTATAACTTGTCTATTACGAGGGCTGTCCCACGGAAAACCGGAATTTGGCTGTAATTTGAAAACTTCAATATTTTCACATTCTGTAAACGCACACTTGTAGAACAATCATTCAGGAATTTCCCGATTGAGCACCATGAGCATCGCACAAACCAAACGAACACAGCAGTTCTCCAAAGATGGCTACCCCTTTGGAAAATTGGTCAAGGGTAGAAGTGAGGTCTCATTCGGTTTCTGACCACTAAAGGTCCCAAACCTATATATAGAAATACACACCGAAATAAAGTCAGTTTACAGGAAAAAAGTAATGACAAAGTTACATATATATGAGTGGTGTAGTAAGTTCAAAGCCGGGCATCGCCTAAAAATTCGTGGAATTTCCGAGTCGCTAAACATTTCAAAGTCGACTGTCCATAGGATAGTGTTTGATGAGCTGCACTATGGAAAGGTCTCTTCTCGAAGGGTCCCAAAATAGCTGACAGCTGATCACAATACGCAACGTGTTGAAATGTTTCAGACTTTGTTGAATCATTGTCGCCAAGCTGTCACAGTAGTCATGAACGCATTTGGAGACCTCCAACAATTATGATAAAGCATTCCTTAGAAGTATTATTACAGGTGATGAGACTTGGATACACCACATGACCCCTGAGACGAAGAGGGATTCGGTGGTTTGGAACCAAACATCTTCACCTCCCCCCGAAAAAGTTCAGCCATCGGTGAAGAAATTCAAGGCCACGGTTTTCTGGGATGCTAAGGGTGTTCTGCTTCTTGACATTCTGGAACTAGGATAAACTGTTAATGCTAACAGATACTGCCAGACTCTTGATAAGTTGAGAGAGGTTGTGTGCCAAAAAAGACCAGGCCAGTTGTTCAGCGGGGTCATTTGGCAGCGTGACAACGCAACGCCACACACCGCAAACACTACGAAAGACTGGATCCAAAGGTTCGGCTGGGCAGTTCTGCCACACACCCCTCATAGTCCTGATTTGGCCCGTCAGATAATCACCTTTTTGGACCAATGAAACGCCGTATTTCTGGACAGCGATTCACCAACGACGAAGACCTTGTGGAAGCCATGAAAGATTGGCTGAAATCCCTTGTCAAAAATATTTTCAGGGAGGGTATCTTCTCCCTGATCCATCGATGGGGAAAATGCGTCCAGGGGGATGGTGATTACATTGAAAAATAAAGCACATATTGAAGTATGATGTGTTACTTTTTTATTAAAATAGGACAAAGATTGTTGCTTTTATGGACCTTTTCCAGTTTTCCGTGGGACAGCCCTCGTACTACTCGCGCAGATTTAAGATTTTTACCGTAGTAAAAGACATGATATTCGTAGTCAGTTTAACACAGATTTGGGAGAGATCTGTCGTGCTTTTTTTTAATAAACTATAATTTATTCATAAGTATGTAACTGAAATAGGACAAATTGGGTACTCTTCAAACGCTTATCAGGAAATAAAACTAAGGCACAGAAATTAACCATTCTAACGCAGAATAAATCTCAAGACATTGAGCTTTTAGAACCTGCGCGTAATGGTTTGCGGTGTGGAATGAAGAAGAAGTTATATCGTTTCAAACGTAGACAAAAATGCGAACTTCTTAACCGACAGCGGCAAAGTCGCTTCAGGGCTCCTTAACCCAGTGACCCCGAGCCGGGGAGCTGCGGCGGGCTACTGAGTCACGCTAACTAAAGGTAACAGAATCGGGCGAAAAGTGACTTGTTCTCCTAAAATTTTGTTTGTTTTTTTCTCCATAATTTGACCCTTTTTTGGTTGTTATTCTCCAACAATGATGTTGTCTCCCTCTCAACCCGGGTTGGCCCTCTTAAATGATCTGTCTCAATTGTGTTGATCGGGGTATAAAGGCACAGATATTAAAATTTTGTTTTAATATCCCAGCTGCTGAGATTCGATGATGGGACAGAAGTCTTCTGTAAAACATTACCAGTTGGTTTATAACAGGAAAATGAAAATGTGTGATCAGCAAATCTGTCTACCTCCTCAGGTGAGAGACAAGGGGTTTGGAACCTGGCGCCTTTCACCACTAAAGACTTCCACATCCGTGGGTTGGCCGACCGCGTCAAAGACTTGAACAGTTTGGTGTACCTGTTCCCCAGTAAACCAAAAGATACGGTCTTCTCCAAATACTACACTTCTGCTACTGGTATGTTTTTGTTAGTTATACAGTCGAAATGCAGGTGCTTGGCGGGTGCTCTGGTGTGGTTTGGTACTTCTTTCCTATCCTTCTTTCTATTTGTTACTCTTTTGTAACAACCTAATCTTCAGCACTTATATGACCTTATTGTGTTGCAAGTGTTGTTAAATACAGTCAAACCTGCTGTAACAACCACCCTGTATAAGACAATCACCTGTACAAACTGACTCGTACCATTTCATCCCCAGACTTTGCTTTTTTTTTTAACATTATAATGACAGTGTGTGTAAGACATCCACCTGTCTAAAATTGCCACTTTTCTCCTCAACAACAGGTGGGCATTTTAGGCAACTTCAACTATATTTCATTAGAGTCCAAACCAGAATCTGTGGTATGGCGGTTAGTGGTGGACATATAATATCGAAATATTAATATATAGATATTTTTACACTTATCGATATCGTATCGAAACAGTGAGAAAAATATCGATATTTCGATATTTTCATTGGGGGGGTGAGCGAAAGAGACAAAGAGATAAATGTATATCTACTTGGAAACCTCATTGATTTTTTGTTCCCCCGCACAAAAGAACACACGAAAATAGAAGACAGCTGTGTTTCACGCGTCAATGTTTTGGAAATATCGACCAGACTCGATAATTATCTATATATTTGATGACGAATTTCAATTTATGGATAATAATTTTGTAATATTGAAAAATATCCATATATATTTCTTGAGAAAAAAATATCGATATTGTATCGAATTCGATATTGGTGATATGGCCCATCACTAGTGGCGGTTATGTACTTCACTCAGGAGCCCAGAGTTCAATTCTAGAGTGGAGAGAAAATGCTAATTGAGTATCTTGATCTTTCTTCCGGGAAGTTGTATCCCTCTCAGCCCAGGTTGGCCCTGACAGGTAGGGTCAGAAGTTTTCTTCTGAAATTATCTAAAATTATGTTGGTGGGGGTGTAAAAACATGTACATTTAAAAACAAAACAAAAAAGTTCAGCCTCCAACTGTAATCGTGTATCCACCAAATTCGGTCAAAAACTATTTTAGGCTTTAAAGATACTAATTTCTCTCTTATTATTTTCCGGAATTGTTGAAAACTGTACAGTGTTCTTTTTTAGCTTATTATAATAGATCTATCTCCAAATTGTAAGTCTGGAGTTTAGTCTTAAAAAACAATTTGTCCTGTTTTGAATGAGATTGAGTCATTCATTCCACCTGGTAGTTCAAAACACAGCGCACATTTCTGCCTTTGTCTGGTGTCGATATCTTAATAATTGAGGCAGGGAAAATGTTTTGAAGATATTCAAAGCGACTGGCTGTTGAGAGAGGCGAAGGTATGTTTTTGTGGCTGTCCTGAACATTTTTTTTCGCAACTGGATGTGCTGTCTTTGTAAATAAAACACCAGAGTTATGGTGGAAAATAACATTATTTCAGACAAAAGAACTTTTTTACCTAATTTAGGGGATGCATGATTATATGTGGGCAATTCTCCTGAAATCATGGAACTTTTAGCTACACTGATATCAAATTTTAAATTCCAGCCAAACCGCTACCTCTGTTCTCTCCCTCTGTTGTTTCATCTGTCTGTCTTACTTTTTCCTTTGCTTTAAATGGCTGTTACTTTGTCCATGTACTTATAATTCCTCACACAAACAAACAATAAAAACCAAACAAACAAAAATGTGTGTTGTTACTTGTGACCTTCAGCCTGACCTACCTTGTTTATTTTGTTGGGTTTTTAGTGTGCATGTCTGTTTATTTTCAACCATGACCCAATTTTGCATTTGGTTATTTGTGACCCCTGATCTGACCTAGTTTTTCGTATGTTCTTATTTCCAGAACAAGTGAGCAACGACGGCTATGTTAGACCACAGCTGAGAACCACAATTCCAGAGTGAGTGAAGGATTGTGTTCTGTGTGTGTTTATCTGTTTTGTGTGCGTGAAAACCACTATTTCAGAGTAAGGGAAGGATTGGGTTGTGTGTTTGTTTATCTGTTTGTGTGTCTGTGTCAGTGTGTGTGAAAACCGCCATTCCAGGGTGAGTGAAGAATTGCGTTGTGTGTGTGTGTGTGTGTGTGAGTAAACCTCTGTCCCAGAGTGAGTGAACGGTTGTGTTGTGTGCGTGTTTGTACGTGTGTCTTTGTCTGTGTGTGAGAAAAGCACCATTCCAGAGTGAGTGAATGATTGTGTTGTGGTTTGTCTGTGTGTCTTTATTTGTTTTTGTGTGTGTGTGAAAACCTCAGTTCCCAAGTGAGTGAAGGATTGTTTTGTTTGAAAATCACCATTCCTGAGTGATTGAAGGGTTATATGTGAGGCGTCGTGGTGAAATCAGGCGCTCGTCAAAATAATGAAATTGAAAAAACTAGCATTTTCAATCTATTTGGAAATTTTAATTGAATTTTGAATTTTTAGCTCAAGACCTTGTATGTCCATTTAAAAACACGTTGCTGTTTGGATTTTTTTTTTAAGAGTTGACAAAAGGCATGCAAATGGTAAATTTACAGTTTCCAAGGGCTCTCAAGCTTTGGAAATCACTAAACTTTGGTGGTCATTTTCTCATTAATTTTGCCTCTGAAACCGAGCAACCCTTACCTCCTTCAATCTAAAATATCTCGACTTCTATTCAAGATAGACTGGAATTTTTTTCATCAAAAGACAGACAAATGAACAAGCTTTACGATGGTAGCAATAACTCCATATGGCAAAAAATTGACGAGCTCCTGATTTCACCACGTCGTGACACATATTGTATTGTGTGTGTATTTGTCTGTGTGTTTATATCTGCCTCCCAAGTGATCTAAACTGTGTTTATGGGGGTGTACAAACATCATACCTTAGAGCATGCATCAGAATAACATGGAGTGTGTATCTAGCTTAAGATTATTAGTGTTTATATTGCTGCTTATTTATATTATGGATGTGATTGTGTGTGTGTGTGTACACATGGTGAAACACCAAACCAATGTGCCAGGATCTGGACAATAAAGATGTATCTTATCTTGTCTTATGTTACATTTAAAACAAAAACAACAAATTTTTTTGTTGTGTAATATGATAACTACTGTGCAGGTTGTTGGAGGATGCCACTGATAGTTCCTGTTTCTCTTCTGTTGCTTTTGTCTGTCTGTCTTGCTTCTTCCCTGTACTGTATGGCTGTCATTATGTCGATGTGCTTCTCTATACTCAAACTCACAATTTCTCTGGTGTGGTTTGCTTCTTCTTTCCTGTCAAACACCTATCGCCCTTATCTCCTCTCCTTCTTTTTTATGTTTGTTACTCTCTTGTAACATCTCAAATCTTCTGGCGCTCATATGACCTTATGCAGTTGCGAGCGCCGTATAACCTCTACTAAAACTAAAAAGAACTAAAACTCACAATGACTATCTATCTGTCTTGCTTCTTCCCTGCTTTTATAAAACTGTCTTGTTGTCAGTGTGCTCCTCTTTACTCAAACTCAAGCCATCAACAACTATGTCTTGCTTCTTCAAATCTTCCCTGCATTATATGGCCTTCATTGTGTTGATGTGCTCCTCTTTACTCAAACTCAAACTGACTGTGAATCTGTCTTGCTTCTTCCCTCACTATATGACCATCACTGTACCAATGTCCTTCTCTTTTATTCAAACTGAAACTCAAGCTTACAAGGACAACTTTTGTTTTCACAGCGAGTTCAACACAATTGCTGAGTCAGAGATGCACCCTCTCTCTCCTGACACGCCCGCATACGTCCATAATCCAGGCTCTGTACATAGCACCGTCACAGACATGGATGAGTGAGTGTCTCTGTCTGTCCGTCTGTCTGTTTGTCTGTCTCTCAATCAGTCTGTCTGTTTTTCTGTTTGTCTATCTCTCAATCAGTCTGTCTGTTTTTCTGTTTGTCTGTCTCTCAATCAGTTTGTCTGTCTCTCTCGTCACTTGGTTGGTCTTCCTGTCTCTCTGTCTGTCTGTTTTTCTGTTTGTCTGTCTCTCAATCAGTTTGTCTGTCTCTCTCGTCACTTGGTCGGTCTTCCTGTCTCTCTGTCTGTCTGTCTTGTTTGTCCTCCTTCCTACATCCCCATCCCCTTGCTTTTTTTTACTCAAACAAACGAACAAACAAACAAACAAAAGTGACAGTTATTGTGTTGATGTACTTCTCTTTACTCAAACAAATAAACAGTAATTTTGTTCATCCTGTCGTTCCCTGTCACTGCTCTCCCCAACCCTCAATATTGTTCTGTCGTTCATTGTATTCATCTTTCTGTCATTCATTGTGTTTATCTTTCTGTTATACCAGCCTCCCCCTCTCCTTCTATGTTGTTGTTTCGTTCAATAGATTGGTGGAGGGTTAGCAGGTGTTCTTGTATGGATTTTCCCTTTCCTATCAAATATTTATCGTCCTCATCTCTCCTCCTTCTCTTCTTCGCTACTCTCTAACAACACCTCTAATCTATGTGCGTCACTTTGCAAGTTTGCGAGAGAGGGAGAGAGAAAGAGAGAGAGGGGGGGGGGAGGAAGGGAGAGAGACGGAGGAGGCAGAGACAGAAGGAAAGAGAGAGAGGGGATGGGAGAGAGAGGAGGGAGGCAGAGACAGAAGGAAAGAGAGAGAGAGAGGGGATGGGAGAGAGAGGAGGGAGGCGGAGGCAGAGAGAAAGGGAAATAAAGAAAAAGAGAGGGGGGGAGCAAGAGAGCAGAGAGAAAGTTTACGTATGCAGTTACATTATTTTGAAAGAAAAAAGCCTATGAGGCATTTTACCAGTATTTACTGGTGTTGGAGTTTCACAAACGGATGAATCAGTACATTGAAAAGAGATTGAATCGGCAAAACAACTACATAGACCGGGAACAAGTTTATTTATGTGTGTCACTTTGCAAGTTTGCGAGAGACGGGGGGAGAGAGAGAGAGAGAGAGTCAGGGGAGAGGGGAAGGAAGAGTAATGGGGGAGGGGGGGGGAGACGGAGACAGTTCCCCCTATGTTGTTCCGGCACAGTATGAGCATGACATTGATAAATCAGCCCATTAACAATTCTACTGTGCATAAGAAAAATGTAAATATCCCCCCTTTGGGAATGGCCTAAAGACACTTCAGTCAGTAGCACTGCCGAGGGGGGGGGGGGGGGGGTAAACGACTTTTGCTGACATTTGAATGAACAAAGGATTCAACCTTTCTTAATCAATTCATACAATAACTTTTTCAAATGTCCCTTAAAGGCCTTGCAAATCTTACCATAGTGATTTATTATCTTCATATAATTTTCTTACGAAATATAAAAGGGGAAAGGGGATTCGAGAGAGAGGTGGGGAGGGAGGGAGAGAGAAAGTTTACGTGTAACGGTCATGAAAGTGTTTAATTCAACGGGTCATGAAAATGTTTAATTCAACGCAGCAATCACGTAGATTAATAGTGAGATTCTTGTTACTTACGTTTGTACCTGATTTAACGAGGTGAACATACAAGTTTACCAACGATGGAGGAGACGGTCCGCGTACTAGCGTGTCGTGTTAGTACGTGATTCTGAATTATTTTCAAGAGGGTGCATGCTACACCTCACGAACCACATGTATCTCGGTGACTATTAAAGGTATCGAATCCAGATTTTGGGAGAATTTTGAATGTAAATATTGTAAATGGGTTGTATTATTGACCCGATTTCGGGTGATATGTCGGTTACGATAGTATGTTATTCGGGCGACGATATTACATATATAAAATAAATATGAATAAGCTGAGTGTGAAGGGAATATGACCTGGCACGCAGCACGCTGCCCTGATTTTCCCTATTTTGCATTTTCAAAAGTTGACAGGCCTTTAATCTTAATGCTTGTATAACCTATTTGTGTTGCAAGTGCCATAAAACTCTTATTAACCCTTTCGTTGCCAGGGGGTATGTGTTCCTACTGTCAGCACTGATTTTTAACTGAGCCTGTTACCCAGGACAGCAGTCGCATGTCTTGGTGTAAATGGACTCGCAGTCTTGATCTAGCGCTCTCATGACTGTATCGAACCCTGGTCATGACAATTTTCTCACACCTCCCATTCCATGTTTCCCCTTTATCTTACTCTTAATCTCGTAATTTTGAATAACTTGCAAATCTAAGCCAAAAAGTTAGTTTTTTATTTGTCTTTTTAAATTCATTTTGGTGTTTACGTTTTGCGAGAGCTATCGGCCACCTGCAAGGCTACATTTGTGTTTATTGATCGCTTGCAAGCCTAGCAAAGCCTAGCAATAAAGTAATACCAAAATACCAGCAAATTTGGTGTCGATATGCATGTCTTTCATTTCTAAATACAAATCCACATGGTGCTTGTGGCTAAAACTCCGTACAAAGGAATGAAAGATTAGCATGCCGTACATGTAACTCATACGGGCAACCAGGAGCGGCAAATTTTGCCAACTTGCCTGACGAACATGGTACGGCACAGCCAAAAATTACCCATTTTCATGACGTACCAGGTACGTCATAAGGCAACGGAGGGGTTAAAACTAAACCATTCTTCGTGTTCAGCCTTTTGTCATTCATTATGTTCATCCTTCTGTTATTCCCAGCCTCCCCCTGACCCCTCTGGCAGAGATCGACCTGAACGGTATTACAGACTACATCCCAGCCGATATTGACCATATCAACGCCATTAGCGACATGGACGTATCTCAACTGCTGTCTAATACGAACTACAATATCTGAGACCTTCAGCATCAGGGTCGCCTGGTGTCAGAGGGAAAATTAGCGAGAAAATGGCTGCCAAAGTATAGTGACTGTCAAGGCTTGAGAGTCTTTGGAAAAGTGCAAATTTATCATTTTTATGCTTTTGATCAATATTTTTAAATAGATGTAAAAGGTGTTGTACCAAAAAAATTACTTTTTTTTTCATTGATAAAAATTGCCCAAGGGGTAAAAAAAAATTGTTTCTCTGATTTCACTATTTTGACAAGCCCCTGATTTCACCATGATGCCTCAGATATTTGAGACATCTATGTAGAAATGTGTATCTCAACTTGGGCAATTTTTATCTTTCTTTCTTTCTTTCTTTTTTTTTCAACACCTTTCATGTCCATTTAGATACTTTTCAGTGTGGATTTTTTTTTTTAAAGTGAAGGGAAGACGCTTAAAGGGGTTTGGCAGTTACGCACTTTGCTGAGTTCGATTCCCAAACAGGGAGAATTTTTTTCAAGTATTGCGGTTCTTCTCTTGGGATGTTGTATCCCTCTCAGCCCTGGTTGTCCTTGACAGGTAGGGTCGGAAGCCCACTTCCTAAATGTGTCACAACGTGGTGGAGTCAGGGGCTCCTCTGTTTTTGAGCATCTGGAGTTATTGGTATCATCTTAAAGATTTTTCATTTGACCATCTTTTGATGAAAAAAATACACGCCATTCTTGAATAGAAGTTGAGATTTTGCGATTGAAGGAGATCGGTGTCGCGTGGTTTCAGAGGTCAAATTAGCAAGAAAATAGCAGCCAAAGTTTAGTGATTTCCAAACCTTGAGAGTCTTTGGAAACTGAAAATTTACATTTGTTGTGTCTTTAATCAATGTTTTTCAGTAAAATTCACCTAGAAATATGTTTTTAAATGGACGTAAAAGGTGTTGAGCAAAATAAACAAAGAGCAAAAATGGTTAAACTGGAGGAAAAATGGCGGTATCTTCGATTTCATTATTTTGATGAGCGCCTGACTTCACCATGATGCCTCACATTATATCTACATTTTAAAGAAAAAATTTAAAATTTTAAAAATCAACACTTGTAGTTCTCTCCCCTGAGGAGACCAGCGTCTGTGGTGTAGCGGATAGAAGGTATTTTGCTGAAGCACATAGAAGACATGTTTTCAATTCCCTTTTACCGTGTAGCTGTGATGTTAGCCAAATAATGTTTGGTGGCTTGAGTTGAGACTTTTTTGCTCTCGGGCTTGTGGAGGGCGGTTAGTGAGTACTCTGGTGTGCTTTGCTCCATCTTTCCTGTCAAACATCCATTGTCCTTATCTCTCCTCCTTTTTTTATTGTATGTAAAACCTCTATTCTTCGGCACTTATATGACCTATTTGTGTTGCAGGTACCGTAAAACTCGTAAGACTAAAAATAATTTAGGATTTTGACAGGCTGAAGTAATACTCAATAAACTGCGGAAAATTTAGGAGAGTTCCAACCTAATTTTTATAGACTTTTTGAATTTACGTTTGGTTTTCCCATGCTAATGCGACATTGTAGAAACATATCGTCAGTCTGCTTTTCAGACATCCTAAGCTCAGACTTTTGAAAATTTAGTTTTTTCTCTCTTTTTTAATAACATTGTACATTCTTAATTTGTGGTATTGGTTGCATTTGCTAATAAAACCTTTTGTTAAAATTCTAATTCTAATTGTTGAGAAAGGTAAGGAAAAGAATCATGAAGTAAGCACAATTGTTGAAATAATGGGGAAAAAATTCTTTTTGAGCTCAGAATATTTGAACAGCGTGCTGATGATTTGCTCACTTTCACTGTGCTGTATTGTTGATTTCTATTATATTTATTTCTCTTACATCTACCATGCTAGCTTCTGTTTTGTAGCTGTTATGTGCTTTGCTGTTGCAGCATTAAACTTATTAAACTAGAGTTAATTCTCGCGTGAGGAGCATTTTTTCCAAGCATCTCGGTCTTTCTGCTGAGACTTTGTATCCCTCTCTCTGCCCGCGTTGGCCCTGATAGGCAGGGTCAGAAGCCCACCTCCTAAATTATCTAAATTGCATCAATGGAGACATAAAAGCACCAACATTTAAACCAAAAAAAACCCCCACCCATTTATCGTACTGAATTGTTGATTTTTCACTGACCTTTCGAATTGTTGCTGGAATGAATCCTAGTTGATGTAAATATCCTAAGATTGGTCGTGTTAATTGCGTAGCGTTAATATGCATAGAGGGTGAAATGAAAAAAAAATTTGGTGGTTCTAATTAAAGGAAAGCATTTCCCCCACACTATTTCAAACCCCCCCTCACAAACACACACTTACACGCACACTCACACACACGCACAAACTCCCACAAAAGCTCACCCCACCTTGAAAATTTACCAAAGTTTTGACATTTGCTTCTGTGTACTTTCAGAGACTTGAGTTGTTGTTAAACATATGCAAAGACGTCCGTTGACCTTTAAGACATGCTAATGGACGTGTTGTGTTTGACTCATGAGACATACTATTTGATGTGTTATATAGTGTTGTATTGACATAAGACATGCTATTGACCATTTAATATTTGATTCATGTGCTATTGGGCGCGTTACATTGACGCATGAGACATACTATTTGATGTGTTACATAGTGTTGTATTGACATAAGACATGCTATTGACCATTTAATATTTGATTCATGTGCTATTGGGCGCGTTACATTGACGCATGAGACATACTATTTGATGTGTTACATAGTGTTGTATTGACATAAGACATGCTATTGACCATTTAATATTTG